ATTAAATCATACATTAGGAACCTCGGTGTTACATTTGATCCAGCTCTGACGCTGGACACACACGTTAAATCTTTGGTTCGCTCTTGTTTTTACCATTTAAGAAATATTGCTAAGCTGAGTCCCATTGTCTCACGTTCCGAATTGGAAATGATTATTCATGCTTTTGTTTCATCTCGCTTAGACTATTGTAATTCCTTGTTTAAGGTTTAAGTAATGCCTCCCTGGAACGACTGCAGGGCGTTCAGAATGCTGCTGCTAGGCTTCTGACAAAGCATCACAAATACTCCCATGCCACTCCCCTGCTGATTCAACTGCATTGGCTCCCTGTTAAGTTCAGGGTCCATTTTAAGATCATAATCATGACTTATAGGGCCCTGCACGGTGTAGCTCCAACTTACATAAGTGATCTTCTTCTTTCCTATCACCCCAGCAGGTCCCTGAGGTCTTGTGACCAGGGGTTGCTGGCTGTCCTGCATACAAGGTTAAAAACAAAAGGTGACGGAGCATTTGTATCAGTGCTCCCAGACTCTGGAACTCGCTCCCTTTGAGTTTGAGATCTGTGGACTCAGTCATGTCTTTTAAAAAGCAGTTAAAAACCTATCTGTTTAAACTTGCTTTTGGTTGATTTTGTTTTGTTTGGGGTTTTAATGTCTGTTTTCTGCCTTTGTAAAGCACTTTGTGATTTTATCTTGAAAGGTGCTATATAAATAAAATTTTATTTATTTATTATTTATTATTTTTAAGCTGGGTTGTTGTCCGGGTTGTAGTATTTGCAACACCATAAACATACATGTTTATGCACATTTTTGTGTATTAGAGCCCCGACTTCACTTCAGAAGATAAAGATTGAGGTGAGGAGGAAGAGGATGACAATTTGTTGGTCAGTATATCAGTATACTGTCAGTCGTCTCTTTTTTTGTCCCATGTTTTCTTGTCTTTGGTAAAGGGAGCCCGTTCTCAGATGATACAACATCGGTATGATTCATATCTTGAGTCTGAAGGTTTTCCTCTATGGTTTGAACACCTACAGGTTTCTGCTTCTTTGACTTTGGCATAGTACCTGTATGGCTGGTCTCTAGGTACATTCATAAAATGTGATTGAGGTAATGATACTGCCCATCTCAGCCAATGTATTCAACACAGCAGGTTAACATAGCAGCATCCACAAACTAGTGCCTGCACAAACTAGTTTCTCTCTATTCCCTGTGTATCATGATGATCTGGTTTTAGTTTACATGACAATTCTGAAATTGGCTCAGTGGACAAATCTGACCGTAACTTAATAACCTCTGCTAATGTGAACTCACTGTTTCTGGTTTACCTCTCAGACTGACTTTCAGAAGTTCACAAGATGAACATTTGTGCTGAGGAAGAAAAGAGTGGAGCAGAGTCTGAAGAAAAGAGTGGAGCAGAGTCTGAAGAAAAGAGTGGAGCAGAGTCTGCAGGATCCAGCTGTCCTTCTATGAGAAGTGACAGCTCCAGAATTGATCCTTTAAACTTCAGGGATGAACCTGGACCCTCAGACACAACGTAAGACTCAGTTTTTCTCGTAAGATTTTCTCATCCTCCCTCAGTGTGTAACCACGAGTCCATTTAAATTTGACCTTTATGTGAACAGTACACCTTATTAGTCCAGTTCTTACTGAGGTCATTTTTATTTTCAACTTAAAATGGTTTCAGTACAAGATTATAATATATTTTATGTTAAATGTAAATGTTTATGTCAGCAACATCACTACCTAAACAAGTGTGAGTAAAATAAATGATCCTCACATACAAAATACTCAGTGAAAGACAAAGGAAGCATTAAGAGGACTAATGCTGCTAGTATACAACGAAGCAACTCCCCACAACTTTGTTTCCAAACAAATAAAATATTCACAGTCAGCTTAATCAAATGAAATTCAGCTGTTAGTTGAAGTATATCGTCTTCCCTACTGCTCTTTACGCTAGTGAAAGACGATGCAAACT